ACAAATTTGTGACGGCTTGACCTCCTTATATCGTCATCCCACCTTTTTATCGCCTTTCTCCGGTTCCTGGCCACTCGTATTTAAATTAAAATTTTGAATTTCCATAGTTCTTTTGCTTCGCATTCTGATTTTGTTTCGTTCCACTGTCACTCCCTGCCAGATCGCGGCAGCGAATACATTTTCTCTTCTTATTTTTTTGAGCCGTTTACCAGATACCAAAAATCTCTTGTGCTATAAAAATTTTAAAGATCATAAATATTGTTAAAACCAGAATAAATATTTATAAAACTGGATTTATTACCACTAGTTCTTTATCCTTTTGAATTTTAAATTTTAAACTAAGCAAGATGCATGGTGGCTGCGGAGGCTGCGGAGGCTACTACTACTCTCCCTACAACATTCCATCCATCATAACATTACAAACCAACAGGACGTGGTAAAGTAGGTGGCTGCTAGTGCTGCTTGTTGGTGCCAAGTTTCAAATCAATGAAAAAACCACATCATTACTTACCAAATCAATGCAAATAATTTAAAACTTTAAATTTATGTAGGAAATGAAACTATTTTTCCGGATTTACATCGCGTATATTTGTTTTTTCAAACAAACCGATGTTTCGGACCCTTTACAGGTCCCATGGTCACGGTTGACTTTATGTTCACACAGTTAGTCAAATAGGGAAATATGAGCAACACGCCGATGTAAATTAATTTTCAAAGTGGACCACTTTTGCGTCCGCCATCTTGAATGTTTGACAACCAACTAAATGACGTGCAGCGTCTTCACCGCACATCAGTGAAGCATAGCGTGTGTATGGAACGCCACATCTAATACGCTAGTACATAGACATCGTTGACAAAAAACTTTCTCTCTGCCTGCAAAGCAACAATTGTTGAGTAGTATGCGTGCGTTCTTATCACACTAACTACACAAATAATTTACTATCTCTATCTTCAATTAACAACTGTTATTTATTAAGATAAACAGAAAAATAACTAACACAGAAAAAAACAGTAATCACGTAATTAATATCTCAGTTTGTACATTTTCTAAATACACTAAATTAATTCTAATGACGGACTTTCACAAATGTCACGTTCGTTCCTTTGTTCGTTCTTTGCGTTAATCTTCTTTGTGTTTTTTTCCTATACTTTCTTATCAATAACAGCAAGTGCAACCACTTTTTACGATCCATGTCGCTACCTAGTTTAAAAAATACGTTCAGTACGGTTCGGTACGGACGGGACGATCGTCGAAGGAATGGTTACCCGAATCGTAGCAGTGACATGTCTTGCCGCACGAAATCGCATCGCAGCAATTCGCGTCGTATTTTTCTGCGGTGCGAATTCACATCATGCCGATTATAAGTTTTGTGTTTCGACACTAAGAGTCGTATTCTAGAATTATACTCAATGCTCAAGTCAGGACTTGAGTATGATTCAAAGCACTAGAAATCATACTCAAGTCCTTGCCATTAGGGTCGTATTTCCAGTGCTTGAAATCATACTCAAGTCTGCTCAAATCCTGACTTGAGCATTGAGTAGCGTTCTGGAATACGACCCTAAGTCTTAACCTGTAAAGACTCTGAATTAAGTTTCTGGCAAAATTGTACAGGAAATTGCAACTGAAATAAACAACTTGTGTTTGAAACGGATGGATCGAAAACCAGCTTTCCATACAAATCGAACGAAACACGGGTACAAGTTTGTTTTGAAATGGTTTCATAAGCCATTTCAAAATTTGTATAGTTGTGTAGTTTTGTGCTCTATGAGTACAATTTTTGTTTCGCCTTTTTAAAGTCAACAAGAAATAAGTTTGAGTGTAATTTGCGGCTGTCTATGTGTGTATCCATGACACCCGCGATACAGGGTTTCCCTAGTGCTGGACTCTGAAATGCATTACAATAATAATATAAGCGCAGCTATTTGGCACGATTTAACCTACACTGGGTTCGCGGAGTAGCAAATTAATTTATTTACATTTTTATTAACATGGACTTCCGGACAGTAACGCCTGAATTTATTAATTACTTAAACTCCCTTACAATAAGAATCTGCCGGCCGTTATTAATGTAAAATAAATTTATTTGTTTTCAACAGAAATAGCTTCTTTTACAAAGTGTAAAGTGCTAGATAGATTTTTTTTATATCCACTATACAAAGTAAGCTAAATGCGCCTTTTTATTTTATTAACTTGACAAATTTTAAAATATCCTAAAACTCCTTGAATGAATGAACAAAACCCTGTTACAGTCTTTTCTGAAAATGGTGTCTGATTTTTTTATGAGACCAAGTGATGGGACGCACAAGTCGCGCACCACCAGGTGCCAGGTAAGTGACACGCCTGTACATAATAGTTGCAGTACCACACAATGCTTTAAAACACAAAGATCTTAAGGACGCTGCCACTGCGCCCGTCACCCTGAACCATAAGTTGCCAAGTCTCATGTACCTGTAATTTCACCCTTCCCTTCATAACCGGAACGCAGTAATGTTTACATTACTGCCCGGTGGCAGAAATAGGTAAGGTGGTTGTATTCACAAGGAGCTCTACTGCACATAAATTGATATTTTTAATTGATACAGAGGTTGATAGGAAAGGTCACTAGAAAACAAAACTTATGTAGATAGATATGGAACTGATATTCCAGTGTATTGTTTTGAAACGGTAGCATAGTGCCCATCAGGGTCATTTTCAGGTTTGTTTTCATCAAGTAATTTCGGTGGCAATTTTTATTATTTAAATATAATATTATCTTGAAGTACTATCTCTAACTACATTCGAATGTAGTATCCTGAAATATTATTTACTATTTTAGATAATATACTCGAATACTTAAATGACGAAAATTGCCACTGAAGTTAGGTAGAGAAAACTAAGCTGACGATTACCCATCACACTGTACCTTCAGAATTTAGGTTTTCGTAGTAATAAAATGCTAAATAACCTACATTCTGCATCTAAACAATACTAATATGTCTAGATCGCTATTACATAATTCATGAACATATTAGTCTGTAATATTATAATAACGCACACACTCAACATAGCCCCGCACTAGGGAAACCCTGTGTCGCGGGTGCCATGGACACACACATAGACAACCACAAATTACACCCAAACTCACGAGAGAAATAAATGTAGGCCATACACATATTTCTCCCGGCCTGGGAATCGAACCCAAGACCTCTGCATGGCAGTCCGGCGTGGTAACCGTTCGGCCACGGAGGCAGTTAATATGTGTACCTTACCGATTTATTCCGCCAGATTTATTCAGGGTAACCTGTACGAACTCAGTTACATAGAGCTCTACTGCTTCTAAAAACTTCCTTCAATTGTGCGTATATGGTTTATATTTAATATGTACAAGTGTACAGAAACAGTGATGTGTCTAATGAACGTGTTTGAATACACACATCAAAAGTGTCTAGGGATCAAGTGAATATTTTTGAAATAAAAATTATTTAAGCAATATTTACCAAATCCAGTCTTCCAGGACGACTTCTTACTTTAATGCTTATGTTTTATTTAACCGCTTACCCCTATATTTAATTAAAATAAACTAAAATTGATGTTTTTGCAAATTGTGGGAAAAAACTCAAATTAACGGCGTCAATTAAATGACAAAAAAATGGCGAAAATGATGATTTTGCTCATTTTTATTGTAAAGATAAGAAAATTAATAATCTGTATTTCCACCATTAACACGAATCACACAATTACAGCGATTTGGCATGCTTAAGATGAGTTCATCAAAATCACTTTGAGGAATGGCCACCCATGTGTTTTGTAACAAGTCAAAATATTGTTGTAGAGTATGTACGGTATGCATACTCGGCACAGCTCTTCTTTGAAGCATATCCCATGCGTGCTCAATTGGATTGAGGTCTGGCGATTGAGCAGGCCACGGCAGAACGTTGATACGAGCTTCGGCAAGAATGCGTGTTACGACTCTAGCCGTGTGTGGACGTGCGTTGTCATGCATTAGTTGAAATGAATCACCCAACTGGCCTCGCAAAGGGATGATAACATCTGAAACAATCCTCTCTGCGTAAACTTGAGCATTGAGGTTACCCCTGATCCAAATGAGATCGGTTCTTCCGCCGATCCAAATACCGGCCCATATCATTATTGTTCCCCCACCATATGGATGAACTTCCTGATAATATCTCAAACGTTCATGACGTCCAGATGTTCTCCAAACTCGAGTACGTCTTGTATCCGGTCTCATACTGAAGCGGGATTCATCCGAAAAGCACACATAGCGCCAGTCTTCTTCCTCCCAGTTTCTGTGTTCGCGAGCCCATCGTAAACGGGTCCTGCGATTGCAGGGTGCAATAGGTGGAACTCTGAGCGGCCTTCGGGATCGCAGACCCACTTCACGTAAACGATTTCGGATTGTTTGATCGTTTATTAGCAAGCCTGGGGAGCTGTGGAGCCTCGTAACCAACATCATGGCGGTCATGGTACGATTCCGTCGAGCAGTATTTTGGATATACCGGTCCTGTCTGCGAGTCGTGATGCGAGATCGTCCTCCATGTCGCTCGGCCACGCTGCCTGTCATGCGATAGCGCGTCCAGAGGCGACTTATGACGCTCTGTGTAGTGTTAAGAGTGAAAGCCACAGCACGTTGCCCGGAACCAGCTTCCAACAACCCGTCGGATGATCATCACTTCTCGGGTTAAATGATGTCGTATCTCCATAATAATGTAAATTGTTTCGGTTCCGATGCAGATATTGTAATGATTTTGTCAAAACGCTATAACTCATTTTTATACAAAACCACATTGACAATCGATTTTCTTCTTATTATCGAATTTTAAACAATATTCCTTATTTAAATGTTAAAACTCACTAAAAAGTATCAATAGCGATACAAAAAAGTTAATATAATTAACCCTAATTGCAGCAATCTCTTAAACGTACTTGATCCCTAGACATTTTTGATGTGTGTATCTAGTAAAAAAAAATCAAAGAAGCCGAGCTATTAAAACCCCAAAATTCATTTGTTTTGTGCATAGAATAACGCAAACACGGAGTAAGTCATCCGTACAACCTGAAACGAAATAAATATGTTAGTTTTGGATAACGAAGCAAATCTAGTGCTTGTGGTGAGACAATAAAGAAGTAAACGTCATCTTGCATAAAAGAAAATTCTGTAGTTAGGTTAGGTTAGCTTTTCACTCCATACTTTCTGTTTTTCCATATCACATCTATACATGGTATTTTGACACACCATAACAATGTACCGAGTTACTGTTATAATAAATATTGCATTTAGTTACCGATAAAAACGTAGCATAAGTAAGGTCGATCATCCGAAAAGCCTTCATGACGACCGGACGTTGCGCCTGCACACACGCGATGAGCACGATGGAACCCAGTTTGCGCTGCGGTGGTTTCTGCGACGGACATGCATGCCAGCCGCAGTAGAATATGGCGTCCGATAGTAAAGATGCCTGTTGACATGTTTAATGTGTACCATTTATACCTAATATAGATGAGAAACACAAATCGGGAACCTTTTGTTCCATTAATTATGAGAATTCCGATAGAAGTAATGATAATATATTTTTTTACAATCAAAAGTTTAATTCCTGATATTAAACTACGTAATGTAATAAGTTACCTGATACGTTATTTCACCAGCATTGCAAAGAAAAAGGGCAAGCAAGAAGAAAAGCGCGACAACGAATAAAATAATCTTCATGCCCACGATGAACGTCAAATCTTTCGAAAGCTAAAACAAAAATCAAAGAATGCCGAGCCATAAAACCTGTTCACATATAAAATAATAAATGTCGTCTATAAATTAAATGAGTGCAATAGGATTACTGGAATATACAGATGTAGTGAATAATCCTTTCCTTTCGTATTTTCTCGGAAATGTTCGTTTTTGTCTTACTACTTCACTCGCACTCAGTACCCCTCGAGACAACGTAGGGAAAGGTCGCATTGCAAGAGGAAATATCTGTATAGAGTAGTTAATACCACAGAAATATATTTATGTTAGATTTTGTGATAAACTTCATGGACTCGTGTATTAATGCAGGCCACCTATATTTTGATAGACCTTTTACATGTCACTCTTGTCTGTCATTTTTGTAAATAATAAACATTGATTTTATTCGATCCACATTAACAATTTATAACAGACATGCCGAAAGCACTAAGAAAAGGGAAACGTTTAGATCGGCAAGCCTGCGAAGTTATTTTCAATATTTATTTATATTTCTTAACTGAAAATGATAAATTCAAACATACCAACTATACTGCTTACTTTTGTAAAGTCCAAAAACGAGTTTCGGAGGCCAGTGGAATTTCTCAACGAACAGTAAATAAAATATTGCAAAAAGAATACATAAATCAATCCACCTCCAATAGTCCGAAGTCGGCAAAGTTGGGTAGACCAAATAAATTATTTTGTCTAGGTCTTGACGATTTTGACTACAACGTTATACGCCGATTAGTGTATAATTTACATTTGATATACAAACAAGTACCTACAATTAAAGCCCTGAAGTCCAAGTTATCCGAAGCCATAAATTTTAAGGGATGTGACTTTACGCTAAGAAAAATTCTTAGAAAAATGGGATTTCGGTACAAAAAAGTTGAAAACAACAGAAAATTACTTATCGAGAAAGATGATGTTCGTTTAAAAAGAGTAAAGTTTTTAGCCGCGATAAAAAAGTACAGATTGCAAGGGAGAGAGATTGTTTATATGGATGAAACATACATGCATACCTCACATTTGGCAGGTAAAAGCTGGGCTGACTCGTCAGAAAACGGAGTGAAACAGTTAATTTCTAAAGGACAACGTCTTATAATAGTGCACGCTGGTAGTAGAAAGGGGTTTATACCTATGGCATTGTTAATGTATCAGTCTACTGATAAAACAGGTGACTATCACAACGCGATGAACAATGAAAACTATGAAAAATGGCTTCGTAATCAACTCATTCCAAACTTAGCTCCACATTCGGTACTAGTAGTAGATAATGCTGCATATCATAATAAGTACGTAGAAAAACCTCCTAATTCAAATACCCGTAAGCAAGACATGATTGATTGGCTATCCAAACTTAACGTTCCGATTGATCCGTCATTAACAAAAATTGAAATATATGAAATTATTTGCAAGTACAAACAAGACTTTGTAGAATACTCTATAGATAAACTTATGAACAAATATGGACACAGCGTACTAAGATTGCCACCATATCATCCTGATTTCAATCCGATTGAAAACATATGGTCTCAAATAAAGGGATACGTATCCAAAAGAAACATCAGTATGAATATGACTACTGTGAAACAATTGGTACAGGAAAAGGTTAATATGATTGGTTCCGATGTTTGGGCCAAAGTATGTGACCACGCCATCAAATGCGAAAACGAGTACCGAAAACACGAACCTGAGTAGGAAAATTATATGGCTAGTTTTGTAATCAACGTTCATGAAAACTCTGACGATGATATACCAGAAAATAGTTCTGAATCTGACTGTGATATGGAAGTTGGAAGTATTGTTTCGCATCACACTGTCCACCCCGCTCCTCCTCCTCTTATCCCGCTGTCATAATCGAAGTCGTTCATCCAATCAGAAAATCATATTTATTTATATTAATTTCTCTGCTGGTTTGTTTTGTTTTATGTTGAGGTGTCTTTTTTGTTATGTCATAGTATTTTTAATTAATTAAAAAAATTAATTGTTATAAAAAAGGTCTGCAAAATCCAACTGTACTTTTGACTTATAGTTAGACTTTTGGGGTTCCAATCCTTATAGAATCATTAGATCATCCCAACCGGAATGGTTTGTATCTATATAATGGTATATAATGGGTATGTAAATGGTGTGTAATGGTATATAAAGGTATATAATGGTTTTTATCAGTGCGTTTTATTGAAATAAAACGTCCTCGGTAACTAGTTATATTTTTGTTTACCTAACGAATTCTTTATATGATAGAATCGTGGTGGTTTTAACATCTCAGTGTAATATACGTCAAACGGGCAGTTTGACATTTGACATTGATAAATAAAGTATGCGATTTATTTGATACCTACACGTAATTTAATAATACAGTAATTCATAGACACATCGGCACCATTCGGGTGTTATCGTTGTTCCGAGTTTTGCCGATAGGAAAGGATTATTCACTACATCTGTACATATATTTTTTTTTTCTGATACAAAGTGACTGACGGGATGAAGAAGTCGTACGCCTGGTGGTAAGGACATGCCTGTTCATAACAGTTGCAATAGCGCTCAGAGCTTTAAATCGCAAAGATCAGAGGTACACATTACCACTTCACTCGTCATCCTGAGACACAAATTGAAAAGTCTCATGTGCCTGTAATTTCACCAGCACCCTTACTTGCCCTTCAAAACTGAAACGCAGGAATAGTTAGAAATAGGTAAGCTGGCAGTACTTCCCTGGACAAACTCTTTCACAAGGATCTCTACTGCTACCAAAACTCACCGCAATTTGCAGCAAAAGAGACACGGCAGACCCAGAGCTCTGGCAAAGTTGCATGGCCATCACAGTACCAAACGCAGTGTCGATATCTTTCAGTATTCTGAAAAATTACTGTATTAGAATCTAAATAAGGACTTTATGGGTTTCTCGAATTACGGTAAAATTGTCAAAAAAAATCTTTGCCTTTTGTGTCTATATATTTCGTCCTGACATCTGTAAATTTGCTATATAATAATATAATAATAATAAATAACAACACTTTGTTTATAGGTTACCATTAATGTAAGAAATGGGAGTACACACCGTTCAATGTTTTTTGTAATATAAAAACATACAAATAAAAAGGTCTTTTTATACATCAATATATTTCACATGTATTCGCCACGAAACGGGAACTTATGCAAATTGTGAATTTACCTAAAGTGTGATCCTATTTAGATATATGAAAAATAAGGGCGAGATATTTAATGGGGGCGTGGTTTGTATCACTCAAAATGCACATATTAACATCACACACCTTCAAACCGCGCCACAGTGGCGTGGCAAACTTCCGTTAAACGTTGAAACGTTGTAGCGAAAAAGACTGTAAAAATTGTATTGAAAACAAAAACATCAAAACTAGTCAGTTTCATATTCAGTTATTATTCTATTTTTATTCGATGTTTTCTTTTTGACTGATATTTTTATCAGTGTTTAAATTTCTTACAGTGATTTTTTGATTGAATATGTCGAAGCGAAAAACATTCACATTAAATAATAATAATAATAATAATAAAATTATTTGTGTATTTTAAATATTTAAATCCCATTATATTCATAGATTTACGTTTACATAGAGAGCTTTTTCCCAAAGTTTGTCTTGAGCCCAAAATAAAGGAAGTTTTAAACGATTAAAGCTTCCTTTTTTGGCTACGCCGCTGCAGGAAGGTCGAAATATTGGTTTCCTTACTATTTTTTCCGACTTTGTTTATGTTTCCATAGCTAATATTATATTCCTTGATGGTTCAAGTTATTCTTTTGCATAAAAACATAAGTAATCGTAGGATGAGCATTAATAAACTTTTTTAAATTGTAGCGTGTGATGGGTAAGACCATACTGAAATAAATAAAATTCAAACAAATAACTGGCTTAAATAATAGCTTTTATTTTTTTATAATTATTAAAACTAGTAGTGATCGACTCGACCCGTTTGATCAACAGTCAGAAATTAGTGGATTTCTGATTGTCGATCAAACTCTTTCAAGCCTTACATACAGAAACATAAGGGAAAATTTGTTGCAGCGTCATCTAACGTGTAATAACTATAACAAGCAACATTTTCGTTAGCCCCATCTGGCGGTGAATGTCTGAACCAAGATGAAAAATAAATCGTGTTACGAGTACGTCGTATTCACATTTTCAGCCCTAACTTTAGACTGTAAATGTTGAGTAGCGCAAGGCGTAAGCTAAAAAGCGGGGACATCGGTACCCAATCACGTAACACATTATTCATATACAAATATAATTCATATATTATTCATATATATAATATAACATATTATTCATATATCTACAGGAGTGACACCGTGGTGGTATGACTAAATAATCCCATGGAATGCGAGTATCGACGAATTTTTACAGCAGACAGTATATTTTTTATATCGCTGAGGAATTGTGGTGGTAAAGGAAAAATATCATGGGCATATTGATTTTTCTTTCGTTTGAATAATCGATCGATACTACCTCTACTGTAGGTTACAGATATTGTAAAATTTTATTTTTGGTCTTAAGAACATTATGTAAACATGTTTACACAAAGTATCTGGTATATATTCATTATGTAAATTCAATTTGTAAGTTAACTTTAAATAATAATTCTCAAATACTTATAAAAATATGAATTTTACCAGCAACCTTTTATTCTCCACTTCATTAAAATTATTATTCGAATTTCTTAACGAAAAATAGACATTTAAAATACTACCTCCACAAAGTTAACTGCCACTATAGCCGAAGGGTTACCATGCTGGACTGCCACGCAGAGGTTTGATTCCCGGGCCGGGAGAAATATTTGTATTTATTTTTCTCGTGAGTTGGGTGTCATTTGTGGCTGTCTATGTGTGTGTACATGATACCCACGATACGGGTTCCCCTGGTGCGGCGCTATGAATGTGTGCGTTATTATTATTGTTAAAATTACAAGAATATCAATTCGTACCCTTCGTATTGTAACGACACGTGTGTTAATACGTCAAAAGTGCTTTTATCCCATGAAAGTCATAAAAATCATACGGACTACACGAAAATTACGTAATAAGTGAAATTGTATAAGTCTCCTGATGAAGCATAAAAAGTTATCAACTAATTTCGTTCGTAGAATTTTTAAATCTCCCTTTTGAAAAGTTGTTATTTCGTTGATGTGACGTTATTAAATGAAGGATGCAAATTATGTCTCGAGCCACTTTCAGAAATAATAATTCTGAAAGTGACTTTGAGGTTAGACTCAAAGTTCCCCCGGCTACGCAAACTAATGTCTAATAGTGACTAACGAAGATTAATAATTATTTTACCTCAGAAGTTCGCTGTGCATGATAATGCCTTCGATTAAGCCTTTAGACAATTTCTCCGAAGCACCTTTCGCGTCACTTTTATTATTTCTGTCGAATTCTTCCCTCAATCCGTCGAAGTAATGCCTCAAGGTGATCACTTTGTATTTAAAAATAATTAAGTACATCATCGTGAACGAGTCCACAGAGACGATCATAGTCACCATCATGACTGATAGAACTATTGTTGTGAAAACTCGGAAAGATGTGGCTAAAGATGAATTGTCTTCATAAGAGGGGTAATAGGTTACTATGGTAACGAAGTGTGAGCCTGAAAATGTAAGTTCTGGATATATTTAATTATTATACCACTAACTTTGTTCACATGGACGACCACTTGGGCATCTCGCTTTTAACTTTTAGCAATTTTAATAGGTTTTGGTTTTTTTTTGTTATGATACCAAGTGACGGGACGAATGAGTCGTATTCCTGGTGGTAAGCGACACGCCTGTCTATAGCAGTTGCAGTCCCACTCAGAACTTTAAATCGCAAAGATCTAAAAACCATTGCCACTGCGCCCTTCGCCTTGAGACATAAGTTGGTTGCGTTTTAAATTTCCAGCACCCTTATCCTTCAAAACCGAAACGCAGTAATGCTCATATTACTGTTTGGCGGCAGAAATAGGTAAGGTGGCAGTAGTACCTACTTCCTTGGTGGGTGTACTTAACTAAAATGGCCATACATCATATCTTGTAACAGCAAAATTAATATAGTGTTTGGTTATCTTACCTGAAAAGAGTTTTCTCAATCCCTCAAATACAAAACCTGCAACAGCTCCGTAGACTACCAAAACGTACGCCAGAATGTTTATTTTTATAATTCTATACTTCTCTGCCATCAGCATTGGATTCTCATACGTCTCACATACCGTTGCAATGCTCTTATTCAATGATTTAATCAAATTCTTATTCAGGATTACCGAAAATATTTTTATCATGACAATAGTGTGACTTACGGCAAAAGTAACAGAGTCGCTTTTCTCATCGTTTGGAAAATCTCCGATTAAAGCCGCCATGATTTCCAAAACCGTCATGAATGCGTACGTAGAAATTAATATTATTGCATACAATCTATAGAACAAACTTTTATCATTTCCAATTGCGTTACCTTCATACCAGTAATTTCCAGTGCCCGAAAAAAATATCTTACTGCAGTGACTTTTTAAAAGTTGATACGTTTTCATTTTGATCTTATGGAGACTTTTATGTTTTCTTTAGGCTAGTCCAAGAGTTACACGCGTGTTATATTCAAAGTGTAAAAGCAAAGTAAACTATATTAAAAAACGGATCGTACATAATAACTTCAAAATTGATCTGTAATAAGTTAGAAAACAACTCACACCTGGACACATTAAAACTTATCTAATGAACCATAAATTATAGCATTCGAAAGTAAAATTGCCACCTAAAGAGAACTGCGATAGTTAAAACTGCTTAACGACTTAATTTACTGGTAAAATGACTGTGAGATGGATAATTTCTATAATGACTATTTTTAAAGTAAATAAATAATATTCGACACAATGATCTTTTCATATTAATCGACGACGTTTGAAACCCGTCATGCAGCCCGTAGAAACTGCACATGTTTACTAATGAGTAGTACAAGCGATAGGAAAAGAATCTAAGTAAAAGAGATAACCATCTTTGAAAAGTTGCTCGACAAGTGCATTGTCATAGCCATAGATTATGATTCCATGAAACAGAAATTTCAAAGAGAAGGTAAGAAGTCAAACACAATGAAAAGGAAGACAAATTTATTTTGTTGTTAAACGAACGTGATAAATATTTATTATTGAGATTCGAAGAAGAAGGGATAACGTCATTTCCTTCCTCCTAAAAAAATCAAAAGGTAAGTACTTCATTCAACACAGAAAAAAATTAACGCTGAAGATGCTGTACATAGACAGCAGCCATATATTTTGGCATTTATAAAGGTTTTATTCACTTGTATTACAGGAACATTCTCTTTTTTCAGTAGTGTTCGACCTCTGTTTGGTATACATAGAACGCACTATAAGTTTCTGGAACTGGCCACTTACATAAACAATATTTAAAAAGTAATTACAAAATTTGAAAATGGAAATCTTTGGCTGTAGAATACAGTTTGTTTCATCTGACTATCACTTGTTTATACTATGTGGCGTCATTTTAGAAATTGATTGTCTACATCACCATGGATTTAACTCGTGAAAATTTTCATTGCATGATTTTCTACGACTTTAAGTGTAATTTAACAGCTCAGCGTAGCTTCGCTCGGCTTCAAACTAAACTTTTGGCGATGAAGCACCATGCAAGACGACTGCTCATAGCTGATTTGCATTCGTGATGGTCGCCCGTCCACTGCTGTGAAGAACAAAAACTTCGATGCTGTGCGCCGTATGATCAAAACAGGCAGGCATGTGACATACCATGAGATTCGGGCATTTTTAGGCACAGGCATGAGTCAAATACAATCAATACTACACAAACAATTGAGTGTGAAGAAGCTGTGCTCTCAGTGGATCCCACATAATTTGACTGAGGCTCAAAAAACGGATCGCGTCACTTAGTTCAATGCCATGCGTACCAGATTCAACGAAGGAGCTTCAAATTTAGTGTGGAACATAGTAACAGGTGACGAAACATGGATTTATAGTTACGATCCCAAAACAAAGCAGCAATCGAGCGTATGGGTCTATCGAGATGAGCCGAAACCAGCCCACGTGGCGTGCGTGCAAAGTACCTCTAAGCGGATGATTGCTTTTTTTTAATAAAACTGCACACGTGGCTACTGTTGGTTTGGAGAATCGTTGTACAGTGAAGAGTGATTGATACACGACCATTTGTTTGCCTGAAGTTATTGACAAACTCCGTAAAAATAACCGAAAATGCCGTATCATCTTGCACCACGATAATACCAGTTCTCACACGCCCAGCCAGACAAATGAATTTTTGAAGGTGAACAACGTTGACCTTATGAGCCATCACGCGAACAGATCCGACCTGGCACCTTGTGACATTTATTTATTTCCAAAAATTAAGAATCAGTTACGCGGTCAACGACTTTTATCACCTGAAGAGGTGATGAAAATCGCTGATCTGTGATTGTCACGGATAAGTGGCATAAATGTATTCAAAATTGGTTTATTTGTATGAAAAAGTGCATTAACGCTAACGGAGAATATTTTGAAAAACAATAAATTCATTTCTGACCATTTATAGTATTTTTTTGTTATTCATCCGGAAACTTAGTGAGCCCCACGTAATATGGAATTTAATAAAAATTTATTACTTTTGTAGCACAGTATATTCTTCAACAGCCCTTATATTAATCCTCGCCAAAATCCTTTAAGAAAATACCTGTTAACATTACTTTTTCGTATTTATTTAACGAAAAACTGACTTTTATAATATTACCTCTACAAAGTTACAAGGGTATCAATTATCCCTTGAGTCACTTTCAGACATTGCCACCTAACCTCAAAGTTTACTCCACTACGCAAAGTAACATCAAGGAGTCACTAACAAGGTTTGATCGTCATATTACCTCAGAAGTTCACCGTGCATGATAATGCCTTCGATTAAGCCGTTTGTCAATTTCGCCAAAGCACCTTTTGAGTCACTTTTATTAGATCTGAGAAATTCTTTCTTCAAAGTGACTATATAATGCCTCCTGCTAATCATTTATTATTTAAACACAATCAAAAATATTTTCGTGAAGGAGTCCACCGCGATAATCATTGTCATCAACATCATTGCTTGATTATTGTTGTGAAAACTAGAAAACTTATGTCCTCGTAAGAGGAAAAACGTTACCGTCACGAAGTCTGAGCCTAAAAATTAAAATGAGTACTATACGGTTTTTGCCACTAGCTAACTTTTTACCTTTTGTTTGTGTTTTCCGTTTTACCAAATGTGATTTGTTTGTTTTCCTGTACAATAAATAATTAAATAAATAAATAAAATAAATAAAAATTGAACGCTACAAATGGCGGATTACTTTAGTATTGTACCATAATCTATCTATAGGCCATTATCGACATGCAAATGTATGGCTTGAATGTTGAACCTGTTTTTTTTTGTTTCTTTAGTTTACTGTAATCAAAGTATGATTAAAACATTTAATTAAAGTAAATCAATATGCCATTCGGGAACATCTAGTTCTATTTCTGCGAATAATCGATCCTGATTAATAGCAGAAATAGAACAAGATGACATTTTGTTAGTTTATATGTACTTTCTTCGTTTTGTGTTAATTGAGGCAAATTTTTTTGAATTGTGTTAAAAACCAGTATGCATTTCATATACGGACGGACAGACGTGTGAACACTATTAGCCGAGCGCCTTTGATTTGTGCTAAGCGCCAAACGAGCTCTATACACGTTGGCGCTCGCCTTCGCTTGGTCAGCTAGGAGAGTGACACTGAACGATGGCAGGGCAAGGCAAATAGATAATAAGGCAAATAGAATAAATATAAAATTATTTACCAATCAACCTAATGATGGAATTGCATTATCATGTAATCGAGTTGCATTGAAAGTTCTGTTAAAATTTGACTCTTCAAAATGAAATGAATAAATGAAGATGGTCTTTGATCCAATGTTTATATTCGGCAGCCCTATGATTTCCAACCATTCTTTTTTCTTTTTTCATTTGTAGATAAACTTCAAACAGTAAAAATAATAATAATAAAATAATAAAAAACTCGAAATTAATTGTTTAAATAACAGAATATCAATAATATGTACCCTTACAAGAACAACACTATCACAAAACAATCATTAACAACAATCATCAAAATATACAAACGAGTAGGCAATCTGAAGGAACCAAAGCAAAATTTGGCATGACATGAGATATTTGGGCTTTTGTGTGATTTATAGACAGAAAAATAATACGTACCTGTACAATGTTACATTTTTTTTTATTTTCACTTTTTCTAATGCCAGATCCCGTAATGCTGCAGCGACGACTTTTTATTAATACTTCATCACTTATCACTGTCAATATTTTTGTGCATTTTATTACAATACATGCGAATAATCCAATAAAACACTTGGAAAAACATTTGTTTTGACATCCATTTGACAGCCGTTTACAACCGTATCATGTACCTCATGTACTGCGAAATGGACACAGTCGGCATTTAAGATAACGTTACGTATTTTCGATTCCCGTGTTTGACACAGACCAATGTAATGCTATCTCTTTTGGCTTAAGACGGCACGCAATAGTTAAACAAACACAATAACATGTTTAT